GGAAGCGATTGGGCTCCAAGGGAAAGCTGACTTTTCAGATCGCTGCTGTGTGAATCAACCTGAGCTCCTCGTCCTTGCAGGAAAGGAGAGGGTCTATCTGGGGTGAAACGTGCCCCAGGCAAACCAGGCATTGAGACAGTGCCCACAGCCCAGCATCCCCATCCTTAGACACAGGGGCTCAGAGACAGACCCTGCCCGGCTCTTCCCCGCTTACAGAGGCTGTGGAAATGCAGTTTAGGTAAACCCAGGGGGATGGGAAAAGGTCCATCCTCTCTTTTCCCGTGTGGATCTCAATGGAACTGTTTACCCAGGTCCCCGCGTGCCGTCGCTGCTGCCTTCCCACCCTGCTCCCACTCGGCTGATGCTGTCCCAAACCTGCTGCCCCACTTGGGGACTTTGCTTCTCTCTCAGGCTCAGCCAAGCCGTGGCTCTGCTTGAAGAACTCTTGCAGTGAAAAGCAGGTCATCACCCCCTGCTCTCAGTTCTTGTTTTTAATCCTGGAAACCTCTTAAAACCCTTTACAGTGCTACTACAATTTATAAAATCCAGTTAATGCATATTGGAGGTGTAAGGTCACAGGAACTCAGCAGGACCCTTCTGAAGTATAAATGTGTTTGGGAAACCCTGGCAAAAGTCAAATCCCTTCTCCCTGAAATCCTCAGAATTAATTGTCACCATTTCCTTAGAACACTTTAGATCATTTATCCTGTGCAAGTTGTTCCAAGCTCTCACTCAGTCGCATAAAACAGATTTCTTCCAGGTGCCTCCCTCTCGTTTTGCATCCAGAGCTGTCTCGGAAAGCACCGGACAGCCTCGGTGCAGCTGGGCACCCATGCAGGATTCATCCCTGGGTTACAGAAAGGGGCTGTCACCTCGTTTCGCCCACGCTGACGTTCGCGCTCTCTCTGCAGCCGCAGCACTCCCACCTCGTGATCCAGCAGCTCCTGGGGCACCTGGACGCCAACAGCAAGAGCGCGGCCACCGTGCGCGCGGGCATCGTGGAGGTGCTCTCGGAGGCAGCGGTGATCGCAGCCTCCGGATCTGTCGGTGAGCGGATCAGTTTATCCCCTCCGTCCTTCCCTTCACCCTTTCATTGCGGTGGGAGAGGCAAAAAGGTGCTGGAACGTCTGGGCTTGGCTTCCAAGGGATGTGTTCTGTGCCAAGCCCAAAACTTACGCCCGTGTGGGCAACAAGGCTTGTGAGAGGTCTGGAAAACATGCCCTGTGAAGAGCGGCTGAGGGAACTGGGTTTGTTTAGTCTGGGGAAGAGGAGGCTGAGAGGAGACCTTATTGCCCTCTACAACTCCCTAAAAGGAGGCTGGAGTGAGGCTGGTGCTGGTCTCTTCTCTCTAATTCCTAATGACAGGACGAGGGGAAATGGCCTCAAGTTGCGTCAGGGTAAGTTTGGATTGGATATTCGGGGGAAGTTCTTTCCTGAACGAGTGGTGAGGCACTGGAACAGGCTGGGCCCGGGGGGG